AGAGAGACGCATGTGCAAAAAACATGAAAGAGAGGATGTCCAGAAGATAATCGAACTCAAAATCGAAAAACGAAAAGAAAATCGGAGACTATAGGGTTCGCGGTGTGATAGAGAAGTTATGAAACCAGATCTACTAACCTGCCATGTCTGGGAGTTTGCCGTGTGAGACTCTAGGGTTCGGGGAGTTCTGGAAGTTCGCCGTGCTTGTTCGTGGAGTTCGGGGAGTTCGTCTTGGAGGTGGCCGTGAGAGTTCGAGGAGCTCGAGAGTGTGAAGAAGACGGAATTGGAGAAAGTAGAAATTAGGGTTCTTGTCTGTCGCGTATGAAGAACAGACAAGAGGAGGAAACTGATTTGAAAAAAGGGAACCAAATCTGGGATTTGAACTTTACAATAGAAGAGAACCAAAACAAGATTAAACCAATAGAAGTTGGTTTGGTCTAGGAAAAATTCTAACCAGAAGTTGGTTTGGGTTAATGGGAAGGGAGGGCTTATGAATCTTTACACTAGAAGAAAGGTTGTCACATGTAGAATGTGGTCTATGATGCAATATGAAAGACAAAATGTGCCTTAGAGAGTAAAAAAATCAGTTTGTTTTCATATACGAAATGGGAATCAACAAAAAGAAAATGAAGAAAAAATAAATTACGATTACCCCGCTTAATGTCGTTTACTCAAACCAAACCCTCTCCCACCTTCTTTGCTAGTAGGTCCATTACATTCCTACCCCAAAACACATTACCTTAAAAGAACCCCTACAGTTTCACAAAGTCTTAATTTGACCCCATAAGTTAAACAGTCACACCCCATAGCAAGCAGCCCATTTATTCATATCCTAAATCTCCTCTCAGCAGCAATAACAATAAGCCTTGAGACACCGTGTGTCCACATATCATACTCCCTTTGGCTCTTGCACTCGAATTCCACATCACCTCGCAGAATCGTCTTCAAACCAAAGTATCTAAGCTCATCTCCTCCCTCTAACAAATGTCGTCCAGGCCAGGCGGGGACATTCTTGATCACTTCAAGAACAATGTCTGAACAAAATTGGAACAGAGTTAAACTAATTTACAAAGAGTCTTCATGTTCACATTCAAAAATGTAGACAAAAAATAAAAGATTGAGGGTCACTTTTGATTTGATCTCTTATAAGTTACTTTAGTCACATACACTTTTGCTTTTTCCTTTCTTTTTTTCCTTTTTTCTTCTCAAATCCCCAAATCCAAAGCACATCCACATCAAACTTTTGAATAATTACCAGGATTAATTGACTCACTCACAGTAGATAGTGACAAAAAGTTAAGGCTTTCAACTTTGGAACTATGAGCGATATCAACCTATATAATAATAAAACATTCTCTGATCTAGCCCCATTAGAAGAATCATCTTTAATGCATAGGAAGGAATGAGATAAATCTCCTATTAATTTTCACAGTTTTCGATTTTAAAATCATGTTTATGAAAAGAGATGGTATATATATAATAAGAACAAATTATGTCTTACTCTTTTTCTTCTTGGTGAAGGTTTTTCCAACATGCTTGCTCTTCATTTTCAACATAACCTACAATTTCATAATCAAAACAATTAGTCAAAAAGAAAATAGGAAACAAATATGGTGATTGATTCTCAAAGAAGATGCTTAAGCAAAAGACAAATGTGGATCTCATAACTTCATTATCATCATCATTGTCATAACGAATGCTTTTTTGTTTATTAGCTTTAGTTTTGTTTCTGCTTTCTCTTCTTTTCCTGTCATTTGAAATACCTTTTTGTGTATTTCATATAAGAAAGTACACACCCGGGTGAAGTAAGCTAAAGATTCCCACTGATTCACAAATAACTTGACTTTTCTTTAATCTTTTTCATCAAGATCAACGATCATTTCTAAAGTGAACAAGTGTTCGAGACACCACAAGAATAAACATTTACCTGATTCATCTTGTTTATGTAAACAGAAACTATTTTCCAGTGGAGATCACCTGCAAAAGTAACAAAGCATTAGGCAAAAGATCTAACAACTAAAACGTGACCTAAAACAAAAAGAAATGATAACTGTAGTCACCTTTGCGAGTACGTTTGAGAAGTTCACAACCTCTGGCGAGCCATTCTCGGCTACAAGTTCCCAAGAAATTTTCCTCTTGTATAAGCTCGCCACTGTGACTACTACTTGAGCTTCCATTGCTACCATTATTAACGTTGCTGCCTCCTCCAGAAGTAGTGAGTCCTTTGTCCATTGGAATCACTGATGCAATGTTCCACACTTCCTTCATCGCCCTCGCCTTCAATGTTGCCACTCCTCTTAACGCTGCACCAAATACAGTCAAATTACCCAAAACATTAATTGTGATCTCTTCATAAACTTTCACTCTTGAGCTAAACCCTTAGATCATTTAAACCTGTGGCTGCACCGGCGGTGAGTGTCATGATATCACCGGCAGAGCGAACATTGACGGCGGAGCTAACAACATAGGCCAAATGCTCTTTTTCAGCTCCCATTACTTCAGCAGCCTCCACACACTGAGCAGCCACAAGAGTCGCGGCTGAAGCAACAGCCATGTCGGTTTTAGCCATTTGCTCATCCTTCCCAGCGCTCGAAGACGCGGCGGTGGCTGCTGCGATAGCAGCAACAGCTGCAGCCACGCCGGCGACGGAGACAGCAGCGTGAATCTGAGCGTTGTGTGCTCGAGTCTCCTCTTTCTTCTTCTCCCTTCGGTCCTTAAGCCACCGTCCCACCGTCTTGGATTGTGTCGCTGTGGCGGTTATAGATCCCGGAGTAGTCGCCGTTGAACGGAACTGAGAGTTTATGTTGTTCAGTACTGAATTTTTGTTTGCTCGAATAAACTGCTGCATAGTAATTCAAATTAGGAAATGGATAAAGAAACTAATGAAGCAAAATCTAAAAACGAATTGCCTTGGAAGCGTGATGAACAAGAAAAAGACAAAAAATAAATCTAGTAAAGGAGATTGCTTTAGACCAAAGTGTCACTAAAATAATTATAAAAATAAACAACTTATATTTGTTTGATAATATAAATTGTTTTAGTAAAAATTGCTGATGTTAAAAAATTATTTTATACCAAAATATAAATATTATAAAATAAAAATATTTAATTTCTTCAAAAATTATCACTAAATATATAAATTAAAATATTGATAAATTATAAAAATACAGAATATAACTTTATTATACAGTTACCATCAGTAAAATATGATCTCTCGGCATGCTTTGATATTATAAACTTATACAAAATGTGAAAGCAATTTATAATATAAAATATTAATATTCCGACATAATTTATATTATAAATTAACGGTTTTATTTCATAAATAGTTGTACTTTTACTAAATACTATTTAGTTAAAAAAAAGATAATCCTCGGAAGCAGTAGTTGAGAAAAAAATGATCTCTGGGTATCGTTGGCTAAAGAGAAAGGTATGTTGTTTCACTGTCTCTCATGTACCTAAATTGTCAGTGAGGCAGTAAAACTGAAGCATTTACATTGAGAGAAACACAAAAAAAAAGTTGCAGAATATCAGAAAATGCTTTATTGCTTAACAATAAACCCAAATGTTTCATCAAAATGTAAATATAGTTAAAAAAAAAAAAAAAGTAAATAGAAACCTTGATGTCGTCGGATTCTGGAGGAGGACTGTCGGTTAAAGAACCGTTGAGAGGACCACTACTACTGTGTGAAAGCCGACCAGATGTTCTTGGTGACACTTCTTGCTGCAATAATCAGTAATACAAAATGATCATTAGAAAGATGAGACAAAAGAAGACTCTTTGCTGAGAGTTGATGACAAAATAACAAAAACCTATGATTATATGTTTATAGGGACCCAGAAAGCGAATGTGTAAGATATATCTAATCATAATCTTTTTTTATCTTGTTTGATTAATAATTATAAATTATTACGCGTGAATATTCCTTCATTCACTGAGAAATTCATTAACAATTCTTTTTAAGGGCATAATCCAGTTTTCAAACAAAAAAAGGCATAATCCATGAACAATTTGAAAACTAGATTTGAGAAATTTCTATAAAAAGACAAAAATCAAGAATCTGAGAACAAGAACAAAAAAGAAACTGAAAGAGATAAAATTTTCCAACATCTCACAGAGTAAAAATTGCTTAGGTTTGTCCGTAATTGATCTGTTTTTATCTGAAATAAAAAGGAAGAGAGAGAAGAGACTCACGGAGTGAGACAAGATACGATCCATAACCATTTGGGAAGTCTCTGAATAAGCGAATGAGAAAGGGTTTCCGGAGACAAGTCCGTTCTCCTCAGTATCACCGTCGCCCGGGATGGGTTCTTCTTCGGTTTTGGATACTTCGAGAGCTGAGACACTCCAGGAGCTAGCGAGAAACTCCATAGGTTCACGCGGCGTCTCCGTTGGCCGATAAACCGGTTCGGTTCTCCATGTCGGAACCATGGGTCTTTCCATGTAAGACAGAGAATGAAGGTAGGTAGAGAGAGAGTGCTTAAGAAGTTTTGGTGGAAGTAAAAGGTTGTCAATGGAGTGAAATTTATAGAGTGACAAGTGACATCAAGCTATTTGATCACTATGCATTCTTTTTTTTATATCAAAGATCACTATGCTTTTTTGTCCATTTTATTGCTTTTCCATATTCTTGAATCTTGTCTCTCTCTCTCACAGAAAATTAGCTAATTAGTAATTATCCTTTATTTTTACTTTTAGTTATTTATTGGAAAATTAGGTGTTATGTACATAACCAAAAAATAGAATTAAGCCTATAACCATAACAACTTAGGTGGAAGTAAAAGGTTGTCAATGGAGTGAAATTTATAGAGTGACAAGTGACATCAAGCTATTTGATCACTATGCATTCTTTTTTTTATATCAAAGATCACTATGCTTTTTTGTCCATTTTATTGCTTTTCCATTTTCTTGAATCTTGTCTCTCTCTCTCACAGAAAATTAGCTAATTAGTAATTACCCTTTATTTTTACTTTTAATTATTTATTGGAAAATTAGGTGTTATGTACATAACCAAAAAATAGAATTAAGCCTATAACCATAACAACTTAGGCTATAATATTTTGTATAATTTTATAAAATATTCCAACAATTTTTTGATCTGCACGCAGAAGATTGAAAATTGGTTTTTTATTTTTAACTTAAAAATTGAAATTTTTCTTATGATTGTGTGTCGAAATTACAGAGAAACTTCTATCTTCAAGGCAACATAAGCAACTGTAAAGCACAAGCAAAAGAATCAAGGTAATTCCAAGATGATTTTATTGGATAAGAGATATAACATAAGTTTTGGAACCACGACCCTTTGTTCTTTGGACTATTCTATCGGAGCCGCTGTCTATTTTACTGATCCGGTAGGTAGGAGGTTATCGGCGGGACGACAATGGAAAAGGTAATGTGAGAAAAACTTTTTGTTAAACTTTAGTTTTGTAACTTAATCTAAGATTTTTCTATTTTATACTGAATTCGTGGCATGGCCATGTATGTATCTTTGTTTGTTTTTTTCTATCTTTTTCACAAAATTTTATGGGTTCTTGGGTGGGGGAAAAATGATTTACTCTATATTGCAAGAGAAACGCAAATAGGATGGTTACGTGTTGTATTTTAATTTTTTCTTGGGTTGAGTAGGCACTTGCTAATGAAAGATTGTAATATGTTTTGGCCCTTATGTGTTCCATGGATTGAGTATTTTTGTTTTGCTTGGTTGATTAGTGCAATTAATAAGACAATCACGATTATTAATATGCTATTCGTATAAATAGATAATTCTACATCAATTGTCAAACACATATGGTATAGTACTGTTTTTATGTTTCATATTGTGTCAGTCGGACGTATTTATGCGCATATAACATAATTAACAATTACTTGAATTAGTGCTAGATAGAGATGATAAAAGAAGCCTTTCTAGATGCTCAGCAGAAACAGTTGGCAGACTCAAAGTTCAGGCATATTATGCTAATGGGGTCGCATATACGCATATATTTCAGTAATATTTGTCCGCCATTTCTTGTCATGCCAGTTGGTAACATGTAAGAAGTATGATCTATGTTACGTATTTCTAAGAAAAAAAATCTGTTATAGAATTGGAGACTTCGCCTTAGTGATTGATTTCTATTGTGGGTGTTTTAGAACTAGCATGTGTTGCGACAATTATTCTCTTATAACTCAATGCGACGTAACAATTTAATCGGTGTGATATCCTCAGAGAAGCCTCCTTTAGCATCATAGCAAAGCCATGCGTTTAAAGCATTTTCTTGATTCAATCCGGACTATTTATACTGTGAGCTATTTTGTGTCATTTGTTTTGATCTTACATTTTTTATGTATTAACTTTGGTATTTCAAAAAAAAAAACATTTCATTCATACTGCTTGTCTCCTATCTCTTATCCTAGTAAACTTAATTTGTTTTGTGGCTGCAATATTGGGACAAAACTAAACTTGACTTATAGTATGGGTTTTTTGTAAATTAACTTTTCTAAGATATTGCACAAACTTTTAATCCTCATTTGGTTAAGCACTGTGGTCATTCATAGAAATGAAAAGCTTATTTGTTTATGTCAAATATTCTATATTATATTGTAATAATGTGTAATATAGTCACATAGTGAAAAATCCAATCTCATAAGTAGTTTACGATCCCTCCCTCTCTCCGCTCCCTCCTTCTCTTTTTATTATTGCATATGCTTACGACAAACTCAAATGCAGAAATAAGTTGTTCAGTAAAAAAAAAGAGCTTCTAGTTCTATAAGTTAAACACATAAGCAGAACTAATTTCAGAACAAAACAAGTATAGTTAGACAAATTAATCTAAGTTTGATACATAAGAGAGCCCATTCTATGTTTATAGAGATAATCTACACAAGTGAAGATATACAAACTTGTGAAAAAAGATGTTAATATGGGCTATCCGGGCCCATTTACACCCTGCTCGTTTAGGCCGTTTAATACCAAGCTTGTTTAAACCCATTAAATATTTAAACCCGTTTAATATTTAAACCCGTTTAATGTTAAGCCCGTTTATGTTGATAGTGCCCATTTAGTCCGTTTAGGCCCGTTTAAGTTTTTATTTTGTGAATTATATTTTTTGTCAATAAACTTTTGTCATATTTTAATATAAATTTTAATAGTTTTTATTTCATTTTATAACTTTATAATAAATAAAAATGCAAATTAAATCAAATCCAAGCTTTGTTAACACTCCTTTTATGAAACTCCATTCTAACCTGTCATATGCCTTGCTCATGTCGGTTTTCACCGCCATTGAGCAATGTTTCTTTGCAGAGGAAGTCTTTAGGTAGTGGAGGATCTCATGCGTGATTAGAACGTTATCGGAGTTAGCTCTTCCAGGTATGAAGACCGACTGAGTTTTTGAAATAATGGATTGGAGCACAAGTTTCAGTCTTAGTGCTAGGATCTTAGAGATTACCTTTTAGTAGACATTGCATAGGGCTATAGGTCTGAAATCCGCAACGAGCTGTGGGCTTTTGATTGTTGGGATTAGTCTAATGTGAGTAGAGTTGACTGTTGATGGTAGTACTCCCGTATTAAAAAAATGCTGAATCTCTCTTGTGATTGCAGGGGCTACCGTATCCCAATTTGATTGAAAAAGCTTGCAGAGAAGCCGTCCGGCCCGGGTGCTTTGTCAGGATGTATGGAAAACATGGCAGTCTTGATCTCAGGGGCAGAGGGGGGCTTGATCAACTGGTCGTTCATTTCCGCTGTGACTTTTTGTGTCAAGGCCGACTCTATTGTGGAGGTACACTCAACGTTTGATGTAGTGAACATTTCTTTAAAGTACACAGAGATGGTATCAGCAATTTGCTCTTCCTCATAAAAAAATTGACCATTCTTATCTTCTATAACTGATAGTCTGTTTCTCGCTCTTCTTCCCTTTGTTGCAGCATGAAAGTACCCAGTGTTCTTGTCCCCTAAGGTAAGCTACTACTGTCTGCTTCTTTGCTTCCAATATTCCTCTTCTGACCGGTATGCCTGGAGCAGGGACAGATGCAGGCTTGAGATGTAGTGGTCATCTGCAGTTGGTGCAGAAAGGGCCTTATCTAGGGATGCTTGGAGGTTTTCAATAGCATTTCTACTATTAAGGTACTGTGTCCTGCTCCATTTCGCTATCTCCCTTCGGCAGTGTGAAAGCCTGGCTGTTACTGGGGCCTCCAGATGTGTATTCCATGTTTTATCCACCAGTTCCTTAACTTGTTCATTTGCTCTGAGCCTTCTGTCATATCTGAACAGACTACGGCTTTTCTTTTTTTGTAGGGTCAAAGATGGTGAGCAGGGGTCGATGATCTGATGATTCCAGTCTAAGGTAGTGACACCTGCTGTGGGGAAAGAGGTCGGACCAATCACTGTTGGCCATGGTTCTGTCCAGTCTACAGTGGACAGTGTGCTTTTTTCGTTTTCCCCTCCAAGACAAGAAGTTCCCTGTGTGACGCACATCGAACAAGTCACATTGTGATAGGAAACTTCTGAGAGGAACAAAGCTGTTTTCCGCTCTATCAGGCCCTCCCATCTTTTTCCGAGTTCTCAATGATTTCGTTAAAGTCACCAGTTAAGAACCAGGCACCTGGTCTGGCGGCTATGAAGGAGCTGAGGG